GAGAGAGATAGATATAGAGATTGGTTATTACGGCAAGGAACTGTTTGTTTGGAGTTATTTAAAAAAAAAATTGAGGGTGATTTTTTTAGTTGATCTTCCTGCAACAAAAAAATTAAACTCACACTCAAAAAAAATTATTTAACGTTTTATTTGCTGTGTAATATATTTATTTAGTTGTACCATTCAAATGTAATATATTTGTTGTGTGATTTTGGTTTTAATTTCATCTTTATAAAATTGAAGTCAGTTAACAAAGAGAAAGGTTCAAATTTAGACAATTTTATTGTGCTCCAGTTTTAATTTATCATTTTAATGTGACTGTTAAAAAACGTCTTTTCTAAATGCTGGTTTGACTCAGAAAATGTGAGTTTGATTATGGGTTTCGCAAAGAATGTAGAGAGAGAGAGAGGGTATTTGATGACTTTTGCAGGGGGAGCTGTGGCATGGCAATCTAAATTACAAAAATGTGTTGCTCTCTCAACTACCGAAGCTGAATTTATTGCCATTACAGAAGCTTGCAAAGAAGAGTTATGGTTGAAGAAATTTTTGCAAGAGTTGGGTTTGAAGCAAGAAAAGTATGTGCTTTATTGTGATAGTCAAAGTGCTATTCACTTGAGTAAAAATTCTACTTTTCATTCGAGATTGAAACACATTGATGTGAGATACCATTGGATTCGTGATATGTTAGATTCGAAATTGTTGCAACTCGAAAAGGTTCACACGGATGATAATATTTCGGATATATTGACTAAGACTTTGTCGAGAGACAAACATTTGAAATGTCGAACTTTGGCGGGTATGGTTGATGTCTCCACCTAAATCGGCAGGGGGAGAATTGTTGAGGTATATCCCCTTATTGGAGTTTGAGACCCAATTGGTTTTGGAAAAAGAATTTTAATTTATTTTGGTTTGGGTATAATATATTTTAATATATTATATCTAATTTAGAGACCCAATTCAATTTGGATACAATTAGAGTTTGATAAAACAAACTCAAGACCCAACTATATATATATATATGGCTTTGTTTTCGGAGAGAGTTAACAGTGGCCTAATTATATATTTGTTTTTCCCGAAGTTGAGTGAAGCAGCAGCCGCACTTTTTGATCAATGGATTGGTGAGATAGTGCTTTGGTGAAATTTGGTGGAATCAATTCTTGATTTTCGGCTACTGTTGGTGTGAATATTCGGCTGCTTTGTGTGGGTTGATTTAGAGTATTATTTTGGGTCTTCTACAACTTTGGTTTCTGAAGATTTTGGTTTATCTATTTGGTGAGGTCTTTCCTCTTGTTTATTTGTGATTATTTGGAATTCACCTAAGGGTGGTTTTGTGAGACCATTGGTGTCTCGTTTGTAATCGTTTGAAAACTTTGTGGTTGATAGTGAAATCGGAACGTACCTCACATTGAAGGAACCACGTAAAAATTCTTGTGTTGTTTTTGATTTAATTTTCCCGCATTAGTTTTTATTCCCATTGATTAATTTACTTGTAGGGAATCATCGATTTTCCCTAACAGGAATAAACATGGGGAAAAAATGGAATCCAACAACAATTATTTATTGGACATTTTTCACGATCAAACAAATATTTTACACTCACCTGAATTTTCCAACAGTCCAACAAGGCCTAGTGATTTCAATCTTTGAGAATATGCTTTTTGAAGATTCAGGCCAGTTGAACGAATAAGCATTGCAGTGACAAAATCTGCAATGACAAAAACCAAACTGTATCCAAGAATGTGTTGATATTAACTGTGTAACTAAAGAAGTTGCTTATCAGGAAGAAAGAAAATAAAAACAAATAAATACTGTGTAACTAAAGAAGTAACAATCGTTCAGGAATGCAAATTAATATCCAACTTCTTTTCCATTGTTCGCTAATAATAATTATAATAGTTACACATTAATCAGTGATCGATACAAATAAAATTAACAACACTAGCGTCTCAGGACGTAATTTAGGAAATGTGCATAGGTGAGGAGTTTCTTTCAGCTTTTTCGCCTTCTAACTCCTTAATCTACAGTAAAATGATTTTTTGCCAAAAATTTGATGCCTCTCTATTGCTTGAACCACTACTATTAGTTTGCTTTCAAACTAGAGAATCCACCTAGAAATGGTATTGCCACTGATATAAACCACAGCCTATCTCTATATTGCAACTTGTGTTAGCAACGTTAATAGAATTTGTCCCCATGAATTGAACAAAGCACTGTAAGGAATAAACAGAAGAAAAAAAAAAGAAGGCGGCATGACTACTGGCAACTCGTAACATCTGGTTGGTTGTGCCCCTGTTGATTCTTATTGTACCGCGACAAATAAAATTTTAAATGCTAACACGAACAACAACAACAACAACAACAAAAGCAGATTTATATTTATGTATCAAAAAAACACCAGCAACAAAATGAAAATCAGATAGAATTATCAAGAGAAAACAAAACAAAAAAAAAAAACTATACTAATTAAGAGAAATTAATAAAATATATTACCTGCAAATAAGTTGATTTGGCTGGCCGTCAATTCTGTTCCCAACAAAATGATACAGTAAGTAAGTAACCATAACATAGGTGCTTATACATATACAAACATACATGTAAGTAATTATACTACATGAATTGAAGCCTAAGGCTGTCTTTGAAGCATGGATTGCCTGAATTAAATGGTACCTTTTAACAGTGAGAGGACCAAGGATTGAGAGTAAAATAGGAGATCCATGATACATTGAACCTATAGAACCAAAAACAAATAGTATCAAATTAAGCTTAATATGTAAATAAATCAGTAATCAGCATTATCAATCATGATAGTGAAAAAACCTGCATAGGGAGACATCGAGGACTGTTTCAACCAGTAACCTTCAGCCACTGCAAAATCGAAATATGCAAATGTAGTAAATACTCAATTATTCATACAATTATATATATATATATATATATCGAGAGAGAGAGAGAGAGAGAGAGTACGGCGGCGGAGGGAGGTGAGAGGAGTGGAGACTTCGGGACGAGAGGACAAGTAGAGGTTTTGGGGGAAGTAGATGAGGATGAGTCTGAAGAGAATTGAAGCGAATGCCCAGCTCCAAAACCATGGCTTCTTCTTCTGCCAATTCTGATGAGTCTTCTCCATTGATGCTTCCTCCATTTTCAGCAGATCAGAGACGATTCTCCTCACTCAGAGAGAGTCGACCGCGTTGGATTGGAGGGTTTGGCATGGACCGAGACACAAACTGACTCTGACGACGTCGTTTGCTTTTTTTTTTTGAGCACATTTTGATAAAATACACTCTAACCATGCGCCTGTTTGTTTTGAGAGATAATGAATAGGGTACTCAGATTGAGACGGAAGTAGGATTCAATAGTATCAGGGATATTTATACGTAGGTTCTAATAATTAGATTTATTATTTAATAGGTCTTATTTTGAAAAATAAATAAGAGATTTATAATTCTCTTCGGATTATAATGGGCATTGGAGAAGAAATTAGGATAGAGGCTTGAGACTTGGTATTAGAAAATAGTCTGTCAGATTATTTTTTTATATAATTTTTTATTTTTTACATCCTTGGCCTTTTTTTAAACATTAATATTTAATTTTTTTTTATATTTTTTGTTAAGTAAGAATCATAATTTTATTTGTTTTATTATTTTTATTTTATTTTTTATTTTTTTCATATTGGACCTTTTTTTTTTTTGAACATTAATGTTTAATGTTTTTGTATTTTTTTATTACTTTATATTTATTTTATATGAAAATAATTTAGCAATTTCTACATCAATAATTATCACCAAAACAAACACAATTTTACTAATCCCCTCACTAACAATCCCCTTACTACGAATCTCCTCTATTCTACTTCTGAAAACAAACGGGCACGTGCTATGTTTGACTATTTTTTTACTTGGAAAAATTAGTCTAAGATCTCTGCCTAACTTTTGATAAGAGGAGAGGTCCATAATAATATTTTTTGATGCCTAAGGTCCCTCAACCTTATTTTACGTTGTAAAATACCTAATTTACCCTTATTTATAACATACGTTTGTTTGGATTTTGATAAACTAAATATTCTATTACTGTTTGGTAGAAGATTTCATGGGGATGAACTTCATGGTGGAGATTTCGTAGGGATTTTACAAGTGTTACAGTGGACTTGACGATGGAGATTGTTATGATTGTGTAGGTGTTATAGTGGTGTTGATCGTGTAGGTTTTTCAGTTGAGTTGAATTAGGTAGGTTTTCGATGGAGATTCCATATTGATTTCGATTTTTGTTTTGAATATGTAATGATTCCGATTTCATATTAGTTTTTCGAGTGTATTTTGCATTAGGTTTTTGTTTTCAGTTTTGATCAATTTAAAAGAGAGGCTAACTCAATGAAGTTGTTTATGATTTTTGGAGTTGATTTTTCATTCTCTATTATTGATCAATTTTAAAGAGAGGCCAGCTTGATAGAGTTGCTTTTGATTTTTGGAGTTCATTTTTCATTCTCTGTTTTTTGATTAATTTCAAAAAGAGTTGACAGTGGAGTTAATTTTGATTTTGATTTTTAGAGTTCATTTTTCGTGCTTTGTTTTTCATCAACATGCTTATCAATGATAAGTTTTGTTCTCTATTTTTTCAAACTAGAGAAATTTCTTTAAACCAGAGATAAGTGTAAATTTCTTATCATTTTTTGTTCTCTAAGTTTTGTTCTCTATTTTTTTTTGCACTTTTGTTGGTATAGTCTAGAGAAAATTGTAAGTTTTCTATTATAATCCAACAAAAATTACAGAGAAAATTATAAGTTCATATGGACATATTATTATAAGTTTATAATGCAGATAGAATCACAGAGAAAATTATAAGTTTGTAGTTCAGTAAAAATCACAAAGAAAATTGTAAGTTTGTAATTCAGTAAAAATTACAAAGAAAATTGTAATTTGTTATGGACATATTATTATAAGTTTATTATTTATTATTTTTATTTTTTCTCAATTGAATGTATTGTGAGCATAACAGATCTTCTCTATGAGTTTCTCTAAGTTTGTGTAGAATAGTTAGCATTTTTGCCAATTTGATGTTAATGTGTTTGTATTTGTATTTTTGTTTTTGTGATCTTGAAAGTGAATATAAGTTCTTAAATTTCTTTGAACTTTTATTTGTAGTTCAGAGAAAATTATAAGTTTGTTACTATAATTCAGAGAAAATCATAATTTTATTTGGACATATTATTATAAGTTTGTTATTTTTTATTTTTAATGTCCTTTAGACTAGATATATGGATTGGGGATTTAATTGAATGTTTCATTTCTGAGCAAAAGTTAATTTTTGTATTTTTTCTTTCAGTTTAGATGGACAATGCAATGTTTTTTGTTTTCTTGAAGATGTATATAAGTTTGTAAATTTCTTTGGATTTTGATTCGAGTGCAATACTGCACAATCACATAGAAAAAATTGTAAGCTTGTAGTCCAGTGAAAATCACAGAGAAGCTTATAATTTCATAACAGATCTTCTGTGTGATTTTTGTCTATGATTGTGTTTAATAGTTAGCATTAAATTTCTCTGTGATTCTTTCTGGATTTATTAAGTTTTTTGTGATTTTGGTTTTGTTATCTTGGAGGTGAATATAAGTTTGTAAATGTCTCTGAACTTTTATTTGAGTCCAGAGAAAATTATAAGCTTGTTATTATAATCCAGAGAAAATTATAATTATTAGAAATTTGTCGCGGCCCATCCCGATGTCTAGGGCTAAATTCACAATGAGTTAACTTCTAAAATTTCCAAGATTAATTTTATGTAATTAAATTAAATAATGCAACGAAATGAAATAAAAAATATATGCTGTACATAATGTCTGAAGTGTGCATGAGAATTATTATAACATAAGTAAGATAATAATTACAAGTAAATAAAAAAGAAAACATGGTGTTCATCTCAATCTGGTCCTAATTAGTGGGGGTAAAACCACTCTTATTTAAGTTTCTTCACCTGAAAGGGTTTTAACAGCTATAAGCATATGGTAGAATGAGGAATATTGTACCAAGAGTATAAAGGTATATAAATCACCATGAATAATTGTTTAGGCTAAACGATGAATAGTTTGATTCAAATAAATTATGTTTAGCAGACATATACTACAAAAATCATATAAACGAAATAACCATAACCACAATATAGAACAGGGGGTCAATAGATCCATGACAGACAGAGGGTCACAATGTGACTAATTAGAGGGTCAGCGGTTATTTAAGTCCCTCAAGGCATGAGATCGTCAGAGGGTCACTAAGGTGACAATTCAGAAGGCCAATGGTTATTTAAGTCCCCCAAGGCATGGGACCTCCGTGGTGGTATTTATAAAAATAAACGCTTATATGCTGATTGTCAAATAAATTTCAAAATTTAAACGAACATATCCATAGATTTAAATTTAAACAAAAAGGGCTCATAAAATTAATAACTTGATCATCAATAAAATAAAATAAAAATAATTTGCATAAGATAATTTATAAAAATAATAAAATCATTTATAACTACTCAAGGCATAATATAACTCATCTTAATATTGACCCTTACTAATTTCTTTTTTCCTATTGCTCTGAGTTCCTCTTTCTCTTACTATTTCGGGTGTTTTTATTTTTTTCTTTTTCTCAATCAGTTTGGTTCATTTGCTACAGGCCCAGTCCCTTTTATAGTTGGCTAATTGTGCTGATTTATACAAACTTGCTGATTCATGCAAGCTATGGTATATAGAGTCTAACCCTTAGGTTTCCCATGTTGTTTATCTCAGCAATTGCCACGTCCTTGTTTAAGGATGAGCCAACCTCTTTAGCTTACAACTCATTTTAATTGATATTAATTTTACTTTGGCCCACAAATGTTTACTAATTGCATGGTTATATTTGGTTTGTACCAAAAATGTATATTAATCATATTGTTATTTTGGTAATAATAATGCCCCTAATTTTAAGATTACATTTTAGCGAGTATAATTATAAAATCAAATATTTTATTTTATTTTATTCATTTATTTCTTTATTTTTATTAAATTAATTAAACAATTGAGGTGTCACAAAATTTCTCTGGACTTTTATGTTATTCTTGTGAAGTATTTTTATATTGAACAAGTTATTTTTCTTGTTTTTTCTTTCAGTTTAGATAGTGTTGGCTTATTTTTCCTACGAAGGAAAATATCATAAATGCGAGCGTGCCAGCAAGGATTGAAAAATCCTTACAGATTAAATTCAAGCCAATTATCAAGCGATTGTGTTGACGGTTCTTTAGCTTACAACTCATTTTAATTGATATTAATTTTACTTTGGCCCACAAATGTTTACTAATTGCATGGTTATATTTGGTTTGTACCAAAAATGTATATTAATCATTCCAAATGAATAAGAGGATGCCACGTGTCCTGCAATTATATAAATAATAAATAATAATAAAAATTGCAGATTTATGGTGCTAACAGATAGACAGTACAGTGTTGTTGCTGTACAAATATGGGAATGATACTATTGTAATTAATATTTCATGCGAATGGAATTTACTATTGTCATTAATGTTTCATGGGAATTGAATTTTGAGGAATTGGTTGGCATTTTGTGTAAAACATAGGAGAATTTGAAACCTGAGACGATGTGTATTTCATATTCTATTGTGGGCCATACGAATTGTATGGTTAGAAATAATATTGATTTTCTGAATATGTTGAGGGTTATTTGTGTACGTGGTATTGTTAGTTGATGTTTCAGTTATTAAGTGTAGTACTTCTGATCAAAATGATGAAATAGGGTTTAATTGGGTAGATGTTGTGCATGGTAAATGTGATAGGCTCGTGGATATTGAAAAGAATTCACTCTCTAAGTTTTGTTCTCACCAAGAAAATATGTTGTTGTCAACTGATTGGTGAAATAATATTACAAGTGTTAGACAAAAATTTGAGAGTGGTGTGGTTGAGTTCCGTACTATTTTATACAAGTATGCTATTGAGGTTGGTTTTCAATTTACATATGTTATAAATGACAAGCTAAGAGTTACGGCAGAATGTGCATAAAACGAATCAAGGGTGTAACAATCTAGATTTTTAATTATTCTGTAAAATTTATACTAATATTCACGACCCGCTCTCCGTACCCAAGGGTTAAGCATCGTGATGACCAATAACTGAAGTTACCTACGGCTAATTCTTGAACAAATAAATAAACGCGAGCGGAAGTAATATTTAAATAAGGGTACCAAAATAATCATTGGAGTTTCTATTTTTATTACAAAATGTATTGGCCAAAAGGCCGATATTTACATATAAACATATCATAAAAATATTGTGTGTGTC